ATATAAATTATTTACTACTCCCGGAGAAATCTTGCGTCTGCGCAGTCGGTCTGTAAGCAGTTCCTAAACTAGTTCTTTCACAATACATTCCGTACAGATCTTCAGGGAGAACTCAGAAATACCCAGGGGTGACAAGCAGACTTTCTACACGCAGCATGGCTCGCGTAACACTTGTATTTATATAATCGCCTACCACTGCTTATTAAGCTGCATATGGCATTAAATGCATTGGTTTGATTAGTAAATAATTGCAGGATTGTTTAATGTTGGTTCTCATGAACATTAATTTAAAAAACTTAATCAGGCATTTGTCTATGATTAGAGTTTATGATAAATACAGGGAAATATATACCCACAACGGAGGAGACTTCAGAGCCCACAAATGATAAGACTTCAGAGCCCACAAAGGATGAGACTTCAGAGCCCACAAATGATGAGACTGTAGAGCCCACAAATGATGAGACTTCAGAGCCCACAAATGATGAGACTTCAGAGCCCACAACGGAGGAGACTTCAGAGCCCACAAATGATGAGACTTCAGAGCCCACAAAGGATGAGACTTCAATGCCCACAAAGGATGAGACTTCAGAGCCCACAAAGGATGAGACTTCAATGCCCGCAAAAAATGAGACTTCAGAGCCCACAAAGGATGAGACTTCAATGCCCGCAAAAAATGAAACTTTAGAGCCCACAAAGAATGAGACTTCATGGAGCCCTGAAAGGAGGAGACCTCATGAGACGAATTTACTGAATATATACTGTCCGTTTGATATATATTCATAATGATAAAATTTTATGAATTTTGATCGAATTTTAAGAATTTTTTATAAAATTTCTTTATAATTTCCCTGGCATTGTCAACGTTCAGATGAACTCAAATGAGATTTAATTTTGATCTTCGGTTCTGCGTTAAGTTTACATAATCCAAAAGTTACCAGCTCTGGAAGCCGTCAGGTAATGAAGTTATAACTGCTTGTCTGCTGTATTTATGTAATGATTAGATTAAAAACCCGTAAGTTGTAGAAAGGTAAGAATGTAACTCTCACTTTAGTTGAATTTGACATTTTAACAATCTCAAAGTAATTTGTAATAAAAGCAAAGTAAGTGGATTATTTTGTTTCCTTAGAGCTAGAGTTGGGCATTGACTTTATCAATCTGTTCAGCCGTAATTTCAATTGACCATTTATGGAAGTTTTACAACGATATTCTTAAAAGCTTTGATTTTTAAATGCAAGAGATACCCATTGTTGCTTTTCAAATGTGGGTTATTTTTTATGTTAACTGTTTTATCTAAGGTTTTATTGTTAGCACGTTTTTTCGAATTACAAGTTTAAGTACAAAAAAGTCGTCTTCATTGTATTGATATAAATTGCCTACCACCGTGTTTCTATATGAAATTGACAATTATAACAATGAAGAAAGTGTTATTCCTGAAAAACGACAATATTTTACACGATCAGATTTAGGTTTAAAGGTTAACGATGTACACTTGTGAATCGGTCCTGGTCCTCTTTAAACGTTTAATAAAGGGACTGTAGGCATAATTTCAAGTGATCCACCTAGGGTTGTTAATCGTTTTTGTAAACGATCGTTAAACGATCGTTTTTTGTTTCGTTTTCAAAAACGATCGTTTCGTTTTCGGAAAAAAACGATCGTTTTTAAAAACGACCCACTCGTTTTGAACTTTTAGAAAACGAACAGCGATCGTTTTTGAAAACGATCGTTTTTATTACAACGATTTGCGACCGTTTTTTATACGATTGTTTTTGAAAAAACGATCGTTTTTGAAAAAACGATCGTTTTTAAAATTTTTTTTATTGACAATTATGTTAACGATCGTTAACAAAGGGTCGTCGTTAACGATCGTTAACGAAGGGTCGTCGTTAACGAACGTTAACGAAAGGTCGTCGTTAACGATCGTTAACGAAGGGTTGTCGTTAACGATCGTTAACGAAACGACAAACTTTATCAAAACGGTTGTTTTTGGAAAAAAATTACTTGCAACCTCATTGAATGTCGTCTTACATGAAGTTTAACAGTTGTGGGGGAGTTAAAACTCCTTGATATTTTCTTAAAAACTACTCAATGATAAGTGCAGATGCCCTCAGGTCGGTTTCCTCTCTTCGTTAACGATCGTTAACGAAGGGTTGTCGTTAACGATCGTTAACGAAGGGTCGTCGTTAACGATCGTTAACGAAACGATCGTTTTAAAAACGACCATTGTTAAAAAACGAACTTTTCAAAAAAACGATCGTTTTTAAAAACGATCGTTTCGTTTTCGGTTTTTCGTCGTCGTTATCATAACGAAACGATCGTTTTTCTGAAAAATGAAAACGTTAACATCCCTAGATCCACCATGCAAATATGGCAATGCTCAATTCACAATGGTACCCTTAAAAGCATTGTCTGATTAAGTATGAATTAGATATAAATATTCAAAGATTTTAAATTTATTTATTTTCAATTGTAGTTTCTCCACAAAAGTGACTTGTCCATTACTACTGCAGGAAACCATGTTGGAATTATCAGAAATAAACACTTTCAAGAAACGACAATATCTTTCATATTATTGATCAGATAAAAGTTTCAAGGGTACCTAACGTTGCCATCTTTGCATGGGATGACACTTGAAATTATAAAATTGATTTAAACTTATATACGAACCATTTGTTATAACCAGGAACTTACCAAATTTTACTTACAAATTTCAACGGAATCTTCCGTAATTTTCCACACACTTATGTTTGTTAACTTAACTTTGCACTCCTATTTCTACCATCTGATGAAAGCTGATTGCTTTTGAAGTTAAAAATTAGTTTGGCAAACAAATGTTTGTTAATTACTATTTTTACGGTTTGTTGTCAACGGAATTAGTTGTTTAAATCTTTTAAACTTTTGTTAGTTACTTAATTTGGCCCTGCCCTATCTATGTAGAACGAGGGAGAGGAAGTAGAGCATCCTTGAGCCCCCCAAACTAACCTCTAGAGCCTCTAGATTCGCAGAATGGCCTCCCAGCCAACTCTCACCCAACCAAAATCCTTTCCTATCTCTTCCATACAAACATATTATTTTTTGAGAAATACTTAAATTTGTGCATTTATTGTATTTAATTATCCAAGTATTTCACAAAAACTATAATGTTTTGTGAATTGTTGGTAGGGTAGTCCAGTTAGATGTTTACTTGATCCACCTGTGAAATGATATAAATCTATCTATACATAAAGCTGCAGTAGTTATGCTCAAGTTTAGGAATTTGTGAAATTTAGAAAAGAAAGTATGAAGTCTAAATCTCAATAAAAGTAGACTTTTTAATACAAATTGGTTTTGATTTTTCAAAAAAAGGATTTTGGTGGATCTACATTTGTAAATAAATGTAATATCGGATTGCTAGACGTAAAGACAGAGTTGGTTAGCCTGGCAGGCGTAGCATGAGGCTCGGAGACAATTTAGATTGGTTATGATTTGGCTGGGATGCCATTTTGCGAGTCATGAAGCTCCTAATGTTAGTTTGTGGCCTCATGGATGTTTTGCAACACCTCCCTAGTAGAACTTAAAATAAAGAAACAATGACTTGCAAATTTCAGGCATACATTATAATATGCCTAGTCCAAACTTTACCTGTCTACTATATATTACATGCAAAACTCTCCCCCCTTATAGGAAACTTTGAAATTTACCAGATTACAAAACTTAATTTAAGCTAGTTTCAGCCCTCTAGTTTGGTTTCCAGGAATTGTATATGTAATGAAAAAGGTGTGCTCTAAATCACTCTGTTAACATGCAGGAAGCCTGTCGCACTGCCTATCCCGTAGTTAAGTCTACTCAAAACGCCCCCAGGCCTTCTAAACCAATTGTTCTCGTTGTATTGAAAGAGATGACGCCCTCTACAATATTCCTATTCATCCATGGTGTGTGAGACACGTGCTGTGGATTATCCATCCACAGTTATATTCCCATGACATTTAAAACACAATGCACCACTGCATCGTAGAGATGGGCTCGTTCACCTTTTTATTCGTTTTGTTCGTTCATCATTCGTGGACGATTCATTTCGTTCGTTTCTTCAATCCTGTTTTAATTTTGTTACCTCTCAAAATTATTATTTACTCTTTTTTCGTTAGTATTCTCACTGAACAATTGTTCAGTGAAATTGTTCATTCAATTAAATTTCGTATTTCCATAAAAACTATCGTTTTTCCAAGCTTGGAAGTTCAAAAAAAATCATTCAGTAAAATAAACTTTCAATTTTAAAAAATTGTTTGTAATTTTCGGTTAAAAAAATTAAATTTCTTATTTTTGTAAAAAAAAATTATCGTTTTTTCAGCCTCGAAGTCCGAAAAAATCATTCAGTAAAACTTTCTTTTTTAAAAATTGTTTGTAATTTTTGGTTAATTTTTTTTTTATTTGAGCAGTGCTTTAGTTTTATGTCGTTAACAACAAATTTTTTAAAAAATTATTTGCTTACGAAAGCGATCCCCATCTCTACACAACTGTATTTAGAAGTATGATATTAAACCTAAATAGCAAGTAAGGTTTTCTCGGCCAGAATTGACACTGCAGAAGAATTTGAGTATCAGAAGAAATCATAAATTCTAAAGTTTGCAACAAAGTTTAACTTTAAAAACTGTGTAGTAGAGATGGGTGCGTTTGGCCTTTTTTCAGTTTTGTTTTCCCCGTTGGTGACCAACCCATTTTGTTTTCAGTTAAATTTTGAATTTAGAATTATTGTACATTTTCCATCTATTTTGACTAGTTGGTTCAAAAAATTTTATTTTTCTAATCTATCCAATTTGTTTGTATAACGTTCGTTTATTTTCGTCTATTTTTCTAAAAGTCACCATACTTCACGAAAAAATTAGTTTGTTTTGAAATATTGTGTTGGTTCCCATCTCTAATGTGTAGTCTAAGTATGAAAAGATAAGAAAAGAACACCTGCATCCATCTTTATCTTTTTTTCTTTTGATATAAAGTCTGAACAAAAATGATTTAAACAGTTTAAATCTGTTCAGACTATGGAAATTTTATCTGTATTTTTATGTATTTCCTTTTTTCTTTCATTGATTACAGCTGCCATCATAGACAACACAGTACCCAGGTAGGGTTGTTAATCGTTTTTGAAAACGATCATTAAACGATCGTTATTTTCGTTTTCCTATCGTTTTTTGTTTTGTTTTCCGATCATTTTAAAAACAATTGTTTAAAAACTTTTAAAAAACGATAGTTTTTAAAACGATCGGAAAACGAAACAAAAAACGATAGGAAAACGAAAAAAACGATCGTTTTTCAAAAAAATAAAACGTTAACGTCCCTATACCCAGGACAGATGCTGACGGGAATCTAATGGATGTCCATGATGGGAATGTTGAGAGATGGGAAGAGAACAACCTTTTCCATTGGTACGGGATGGGCTACCAGGATTGTGAGCTTGAGAAAGGAATTATACCGCCAAGAAATTGTCCCGGAATCTATTCTGAGTTTGGAAGATGCGGGTTTAGAAATGATCATGCTGTAAACCTTTACACTTCTCCAGACCTACACAACTGGACATTTGTTGCTGATATCTTTCCTGTAGAAAGTAGACCAGAAGGAATATACTTTAGACCCAAAGTGATTTTCAACAAAAAGAACAAGGAGTATGTGCTGTGGATCAATTATCTTGCGCCGGCAAGCTCCCCTCTGGCATCTTATCCTGATGCCAGATTGATGGTGGCTGTCTCCCCTTCCCCATCTGGACCTTTTACAATTGTAACAGAAAAGGCTGGTATTGAAGAAAGTGGAGGAGGAGATTTTAATCTCATGATCGACCCTAATGATGAAAATGCAGCAGCTTACATTGCATATGATGCTTGGGGTAATAATCATGCTTTAGTGATTGAACAACTGACACCAAACTACTATGATGCTCTGGGATCTTTAGCTAGCACAGGATCAATATCTCCTATAAACAATGAAGCTCCCATTCTCTTTGAGAGGTCTGGTTGGTACTACCTGCTGTACGGACATACATGCTGCTTTTGTGAGCAGGGAAGCGGGGCAGAGGTTTGGGTTTCCCAGCATCCACTTGGACCTTGGATAAACATGCATACAGACATCAACCCTGGGTTTCTAGGGGTCAGGGATATCAAAGCTCAATGCAACTATGTGATAACCCTGCAGCTTGCTGATGAGGAACCAGAGTACCTGTACACTGGAGATCTGTGGTCGTCTTCTCCTGATAATCTGAAATCTCATGATATTCAATACTGGTCTCCACCATTACAGTTTGATGATACTGTTAGCCCACCCGCAATCCTTCCAATGCAATTTGTGGAGAGGTTCACACTTCATGTTTAATTTGCTGAACCTCCATCTTGGAATTTGTTGATTAGGTGTCTCAAAGCATACAATAGATAGAACAGATTAATGCTAATGTCTGTTACAGAATCGTGGGAAGGCAAGATGATAAGCATTTCAGAGATGAAAAATAATTTATTTTTGCACACAGCAAATTCGACAAAATGTCATTTTAGCGTTAAATCTTCGTTTTTAATTTGGTTTTAATTTTACTGTTACATATTAAACAATCTACATTCATATTTGTACAATATACATTTGAAGAATACATAGAATTTCTTAAGACATAATTTATGTAATTTACTATTTATTCCTTTGTGTTCTATTCCATAATGAAAGCAACTTTCAGATCTTTATTTCCTTATACACTACTTAGCTGTGTGTTAGACAGAGTGTTCAATATTAAACATATATAAAATAAGACTTTGACACATACTCAGCATTCAAACTTTGAGAAACCTTGAGTTATTAAGATATAGGGATTATAAAATCAGAGTTTTTGAAAAAGACTAAATTTATTTTAAAAGCTGCAAACCGATAAAAGTCAAACTTGCAGTGAAAGTTTATGAACGGTCGAAATTTAAAAAGATTTAGGTTAATGTTAATTTCTAATTCTTTTTTTTAATTACCAATAAAAACAAGGACAGGTCTGTAGCTATAAGGGGTGACTATTTTAGAGTCAAAAGAAAGAAAAACAACATTTTGACAAGGAAACGATCGTTATTAGTTTATCAAAAGTAAAAGAATGTATTCTTGTTAGATTTATTGAATAAATAATTTGGTAAAAATCATAAAAACATCTGTGCAAAATTTTTATTTACAAATTATATATATATAGGGGATGTTTAATGTTGACGAGAACACCCCCTGGAGTATTTATTTTAACTGTTTTAATAACACTTACTGCACTTTTGAAAGGTTAATTGAAAAATATCTATTAATGCTATATATATTAGTTCATAACAGAATATAATTTATTCTATTGTTCATCCTTTCTTCCTTCTACATCCTTTCTTTGTCCTACCTTCACTTATGCATCCTTTCTTTCTTCCTACTTCCTTTATTCATCCTTTCCATCTCCTTTATTCATCATATCCATCTTCCTACCTGCTTTATACATCCTTTCCATCTTCCTTCTTTCATTTCATTTTCAACGTCCTTTCGACATGTATTCTTTTTTTAATATGGTTTTAGTGAGAAAGAAAAAACTTTGAAAACATAAGACGACTTTTAGACTGAATTTATAATCTTAAATAGTCCAATGTATATGCAAGACAGCATTTTTGCATTGTGCACAAACCATTTCACTTCATGATTGATTTTCAAGCTACTAGTAAAATTATTTGTTTGGTAACTACATCAATTACACTTCAAATGTTAACTCATATTTTACCCCAAAAAGATCCCTTTCAGGGTAATATAGCACCCATCCTTTGTAATTGTCAACAAAATAATTGATTACTCGTCTTAAACTATAATTTAGTACTTCTCATATAGTTGAAGATATTTCTAATATTGATTATTTGACATAGCAAAAGTTATGTCTTTAAATATCGTCGAATTATAGCTTTAAGATTGAAGTCAGAACTATTTTGTTGTGAATTTTTAAATCAAGTGTTGAAGTACATTTTATTTAGATTTCAGACCTACGGACTAATTAATTTTAATTTGTTCATTTGCTACTTTTACCCATTTATAATTTTTCTTTATCATCTGCTTTCTTTAATTATTCTATTCTTTGATCTGAATCTTCAGTTTTAAAATTCCTTTAGATTTTTCATTGTATCTTTTTTCATTCTTTTTGCTTTCTTTAACCGTATTTTCTTAATTCTTATCAATCATGAACTTGTTTCATCTTGTTTTGATTCTGATCATGTAACTTAAATCCGTTATTTCTCTCATAGATTATTATTTTATTTATCCTTTCTAATGCCTTATTAAATAACTCCTTTCTTCATTTATTTTCAAGATATGCAGTAAAAGGGTCTGCAGTGAGATAAACTATGTGTCTGTGAGATAAACTATGTGTTTGTGAGATAAACTAAGTATCTGAGAGCTACACTTACTAAGTGTCTGTGAGAAAAACTTTGTGTCTCTGTGAGATAAACTAAGTATCTGAGAGCTACACTTACTAAGTGTCTGTGAGAAAAACTTTGTGTCTCTGTGAGATAAACTAAGTATTTGAGAGCTACACTTACTAAGTGTCTGTGAGATAAACTAAGTGTCTCTGTGAGATAAACTAAGTATCTGAGAGCTACACTTACTAAGTGTCTGTGAGATAAACTATGTATCTGTGAGATAAACTAAGTATCTGAGAGCTACACTTACTAAATGTCTGTGAGATAAACTATGTGTCTGTGCGATAAACTAAATGTTTGTGAGATATACTAAATGTCTGTGAGATACACTGTACGCCTGTGAGATGAACTAGATTTCTATGAGATACACTTACTAAGATAATCTTTGTGTCTGTGAAATATACTGCATGTCTATGAGTTATACTTTAGGTCTGTGAGATATACTTTGTGTATGAGAGATAAACTAAGTGTCTATGAGATATGATTTGTGTCTGTGAGATCTCTAATTGTCTGTAAGATATACTTTGTGTCTGGGAAGCTAGAAATAAATGCTGGCATTTAAATCGACTACTCTAATGAGTTTAAATAAAAAGAGTATAAGAAAGATGTAATATTGACTACACACGGAATAGAAATATATTATATACTAGAAATTCAAGGCGCTTCGCGCCCTTCTTTCTAGCCTTAGAGGGCGCTTCGCGCCCATCTTCTGAATTAATTGTAAACATGTTCTCTTTGTGTACATCGTAAAACTAAACAAAAATAATTCGCGGATTTTTACAAAAAATTTCGCGGATTTTCAAAATTTTAAAAAATTTAATGACGATCGAATTTTGATAGAGACAAATATTTGAAATTTTGATGATTCTTAAACCTTCCCTGGGCTCCCTAGATGTCCCACAAAAAATTTGGGACCGATCGGTTCAGCCGTTTTGACGTTTATTGGATACAAACAAACAAACAGACAAACAAACAGACAGACAAACAAGCCAAATTTATATATAGATTATAATATACACACCACCATCCTTCATGGTTAAGCATCACTAGAGTTTGCCTGTTTGGAAGAGGGGGGGGGGGTCTGTAAATTATGAAAGGTCCATTTACAGATATATAATGCACCTATACGGCTCTAAATCCGATTCGACCCCTCATTGTGTTTATTTATTTATGTATTCCTTGAACTTCATCACGATTCTTCTGTTTACTGTTCATTGCAATCAAATTCGTTCTTAATTGTTCCAACTGGCAGACCCGCCATAGCTAGTATTTATCAATGAATAAGGATGGTTCATTATAAATGTCTGAAGAAAAGGTAGCTTTTTGAACTCTATTTATAGTATCTGAACCCTGATTAAGGTATCTGAACCATAAGTATCTAAACCCTGTGAAGGGTATCTGAACCCTAAGTAAGGTATCTACAGTCTACACCCTATGAAAGGTATCTAAACTCTATCCTAGGTAGGGTATCTGAACCCTAGGTAAGGTATCTAAACCCTAGGTAGCGTATCTGAACCATAGGTAGAGTTGCTGAACCATAGGTAGGGTTGCCGAACCCTAGGTAAGGTATCTGAACCATAGGTAAGGTATCTGAACCCTAGGTAGGGTAGCTGAGCCCTAGGTAGTATCTGAACCATAGGTAGGGTATCTGAATCCTAGGAAGGGTATCTGAACCCTAGGTAAGGTATCTAAACCCCAGGTAAAGTATCTGAACCATAGGTAGGGTATCCGAACCCTAGGTAGGGTATCTGAACCAACGGTAGGGTATCCGAACCCCAGGTATGGTAGCTGAGCCCTAGGTAGTATCTGAACCCTAGGTAGGGTATCCGAACCATAGGTAGGGTATCCGAACCCTAGGTAGAGTATCTGAACCCTAAGTAAGGTATCTCTAAACCCTAGCCTAGGTAGGGTATCTGAACCCTGGGTAAAGTGTCTAAACCCTAGGTAGGGTATCTGAACCATAGGTAGGGTATCCAAACCCTAGGTAGGGTATCTGAACCCTAGGTAGAGTATCTAAACCATAGCCTAGGTAGGGTATCTAAACCCTAAGTAAAGTATCTAAGCCCAAGTTAGGGTATCTAAACCCTAGCCTTGGTAGGGTATCTGAACCCTAGGTAGGGTATCTGAACCATAGGTAAAGTATCTAAATCCTAGCCTAGGTTGGGTATCTGAGCCCAAAGTAAGGTATCTGAACCCGAGGTAGGGTATCTAAACCCTAGCCTATATGGTAGGGTATCTGAACCACTAAGTAAGGTATTTAAACCTTGTTTAGAGTATCTATACCCTAGCCTAGGTAGGGGATCTGAACCACTAAGTAAGGTATTTAAACCCTAGCCTAGGTTGGGTATCTGAGCCCAAAGTAAGGTATCTGAACCCGAGGTAGGGTATCTAAACCCTAGCCTATATGGTAGGGTATCTGAACCACTAAGTAAGGTATTTAAACCTTGTGTAGGGTATCTAAACCCTAGCCTAGGTAGGGTATCTGAACCCGAAGTAAGGTACCTGACCCAAAGTAAGGTATCTGAACACAAGGTAGGGTATCTAAACCATAGCCTAGGTAGGGTATCTGAACCCTAGCTAGGGTATCTGAACCCTAAGTAAGGTACCTGAACCCTAGGTAGGGTAGCTAAACCCTAGCCTAGGTATGGTATCTGAACCCTACTTAGGGTATCTGAACCCTAGTTAGGGTATCTGAACCTTAGACAGAGTATCTGAACCCTAGGTAGGGTAGCTGAACCCTAGGTAGGATATCTGAACTACAGGATACGGTATCTGAACCCTAGGAAGGGTATCTGCACCCTTGGTAGAGTATCTGCACCCTTGGTAGAGTATCTGAACCCTAGAGAGGGTAGCTGAAACCTAGGTAGAGTATCTGAACCCCCAGGTAGGGTGTCTCAGCCCTAAGTAGGGTAGCTGAACACTAGGTAGGGTATCTGAACCCTTGGCAGGGTATCTGAGCCCTAGGCAGGGTAGCTGAACTCTAGTAAGAGTATCTGAACCCCAGGTAGAGTATCTCAGACCTAGGTAGGGTATCTGAACCTTATGGTATTGGTAGGATATCTGAACAGTATAGAAAAATAATGAAATTGAATTTTTTGTCCTTAAAATATATGTTGACATGTTTATGAAGTTTATATTCCTGTGTTTGTCTGTGGGTTACCTCGAGATTAGAATCTAAAAGGAATAAATGTCAACCACAAAGTTCTTAAAAC